CTATTTATACTTTTTTGATTTTTTTTCTTCTCTCAAGCAGCTATAGTTAGTAATTTCCTCTTCTTACCTCTCCCACCTCCCCCTGCTTTTCATTTCATCCTCGAGTATCAAATGAAAAGCCCAGTTGCCCTCAAATGAGTTATGTTAATATCATTTAAGGGGGTCAGTGAGTGTGGGCAGATGTAATTTATTTAGACACTGCCCTTTGATGGAGCAGCTGAAAAAGACTTCTCTGTTTACCCTCTCACTGTGGATGCTAGAGAGACCCAAAGAAGCTTATCCTAGCCATCGCTCTCTGTTTTTGTGTCTCTCTCTCTCTCTCTCTCTCTCTCTCTCTCTCTCTCTCTCTCTCTCTCTCTCTCTCTCTCTCTCTCTCTCTGGTCACATTACTCTGTATAGCTATTACTCATGCATGATCCACAATTAGCTGCCTGGGCCGGGTTAACGATTGGTCAGCAGCTGTCCTCAGGTCAGTGCGAGGGCTGTTTCTATAGTGTGTATTATTAGAGAGCACCTGGGCCTTCTTGGCCCAGGACCAGGGCTGACCTGCTATTGAAGATGCCCATAAGCAATAGCATGGGGTTCTAATTTATGATGCAGCTTAAATAAGGTGAGAGGAATCACATGACAAGTAATGTTTAAAGAAATAAGGAAAGAGATGTTCTCTGTGTGGGTGTGTGCGTACTTTGAGGTGCATGCACACTTGTGTGTGGGTGTGTGTGGTATGATTGATCAGTAGTGCTCAGTCAGCTGGACATGACAGCAAGATGTCCTGTGACTTGCTGGTCAGTCTTCATCAGTGAATAAGAATGAATAAGAGCATCAATCTCCTTCCATATTGAAAGGCCTCACTTTTCACTTTTTAAACAAGACAAGAACTTCTCTGCACTCAGATTAAGAAGCTTTTGATGTTTCTACAAAAGAAATGTTTAAACTTTAGTGATTACAGTAAATCGATCAAATATGTAATTACACTCTCAAAAGCAAACTTTGTCTTATCAGTTTTAATACATTTTGTGTTGTTTTGAATGTGTTAAAAGTAACACATGAATTTTCTCTAACTGGACACAACTTTCTTTAAATTAAGAGTTTGAAGCAGTATGTATGCATTTTTAATGTTTCGTAACATAAAAATAGCCTGTTTAATTCTGAATGATAAAGAGAAATTGGAAAATAGTCACATTAAAATGAGTTATTTCTGATTTTGGTGAATACAACCACACAAATGTCATAAATGGACCTTGTAGAAGTGTATTATAAAGTAGTGACCATCATTGTTCTAATATAAAACCAAATTTGTTGCATATGTGTTAAATGATTCTATTTAGATGATACTGCTCTACAATTTCATAGGTTTCAGCTATACATAGTTTGTGACTACGTCATTAAGAAGATCATGTTTCCATGTTGGTATGCAAGCTGTAACTCTGACTTTGCTCTAAAAAACGCTCAGAGTTCGGGAGTTCAAGATATTCCACTGTGTGATATTTTATAAAAAAAAACTAAAGTGGCTAACAAAACTACCAAAGCTCTTAAATAATAAGCTTCTCATTTGAATTTTCCGTTCCATCTTAAATGATGCTGCAGTTACACTGAGGTGCCTTAAACATGAAAGTTGGCGAATACGAAATGTCAGCTTACCTCAATAAATGCATCCTTAATCAGCAAATACCTTAAACTTTTGCTTGCAGATGTATACTAAGCAGCTGACCGGCAGCACAGCAAAGCTATAATTTTGTAAGAAGCTTTAAAAAAAAATTAAGAAATTTTAAATATGTCTGGTATGATGCACAGAGCTGTAGATGCTTCCATAATGACTGAGAAAGATGTATTCTATGCATCAAGAATGGCTGAATAAAATTAACATTCAGAATGCTTCATATTTGAAAAGTGGTGATCAAATCTTGAGAGTCAAGGAATTAATGTAAATAGACTGCAGTACTGCAATCTATTTACATTAATTGTCCAGAGTGTTTCCTGCCTTCTGCCCAGTGACTGCTGGAATAGGCTCCAGCACCCCCCAGCGACCCAGGAGGATAAGTGGCTTAGATTGTGTGTGTGTGTGTGTTCGTGTGTGTGTGTGTGTGTGTGTGTGTATTTATCATTTAATCATTTTTTGAGTTTCCTCAGAAACATATATGTCGAATAAAACAAAAACGTTTGGTTTTGTTGTATTTCATGGTACCCTGTATGCATTTTTATTGAATAAAAATGCCACTAATTATTAATATGACAAGTGATTTTCAAACTTTTAATCTGCAGTGCAGTTGGGCTGCTTGTCTATGTATGAAAGGTACTATGCAAATACTATTTCTATTATTCCTAATTCTGTTACTGCTAGTACCACCATAATAAAAAATAATAATAATAATAATAATAATAGTAATAGTAATAATAATAAGCTGAACAGCCAGGAGAAAGAAGCAAGAGAATGTACCTTGTGCAAGATAGTGTATATGTGAGTGTGATGGTGCGAGTGCTTGCATGTGTGCATGCATGTGTGTGCGCACATACTGTGCAAATGCGTACATTTGGAGGAGGAGACACTGTCCATCAAACTCTTCACATGGAATTGTAACTGAATGTCATCAGCGCCTAGCCGATGCAGTGCCCCGTGGATTATAGAAATCATTTGAACATGAATGGATTTTGTGCTTCTGTACTCGTAAATGGATGCTCTTCATTTCAATAAGGTTGAGCCGGTCTCTGGTACTCTGGCTGTTCTCAAATCACCAGGGTTTTCTGCTTGGCTAACTCTTCAGCGGAGAGATCGACAGAAGGAGGGTTTCTGTTGAAGAGAGTAAAAAGCCAAACCTTTGGTGAAGTCACTAACATGAGCACCTCATTTGAATAAGATAATGTTTTGGCGAGCTGTTTTCCCCCTCCATCACAGCCGACTTTCTTCTAGTTGTGTTTGGCTTCCTCAGGTTTATTTTTACTGATCAGTCAACGGTAATTTGCTGTGATTAACAGTTATCAGCTATCAGCTGAGGGAAATACAGTTTTTTCAGCAATTGTTTTGGAAACTGAAAAAAATGAATTTCCCTGCATTGTTTCAGCCTGGGTGGCTACAATGACTTTCTGATAGGGAGAGTATCTCTGTCTTTAGCCTTTTTGGGAGCTCCTTCTTGGCCTTATTCATTGCCTAAAGCAGCTTAAGCCCAGTAAAGCGCATTAGTATAAGGCTGCCAGGGGAGCGCCCTGAGCTGCCGCTTGGACCCAAATGAGCGAAAGATGGAGCGATTTGTTAGGGCTTTAGAAAGCAGCTAAATGGAGAGAGGAGGGAGGGGAAGAAGAAGTGAGGGAAGGAGGTTTGCTCTTCTCTTTTCCGCCGCTGTTTGTTTTAATCTGCTGTGCAGCTCTGTGGGCTTTCTGACCTGATTTGTGACATTTCATTCTAAAGGCTCCTTTTTCCCCCCTCTCTCTGTTATATTGGCTTGACCTGATTAACTAATCTGTGCTTTGAATTTCAATCAGGCCTGTGGGATGGGAACCAGTGGGACTGGCTTTACCTCATTCAACTGTCTTCAAACACAGATGGTCGAATGTTTAACTAATTGTTAAAAGACTCCACAAAAGGGAATTTAGCCATGCACGCAGTCTTTGGGGTCAGTACAATACCTCGACATAAAGAGGGTCGAAAGGAGATGATGGGTTTTCTTTTTTTCTGTTTCTGCTTCTTCAGAATCATTAAAATGCACTGGGTGTAATTAGGGTGTTTTTTTTGTTTTGTGTATGTGAGGAACTGTGTGATATAAGAGGGTCCTCAGTCTCGGCAGCTTTCTCTGGAACTTATTGCAGCGCTTGTTATATCAGGAGAGTGATAGTTTGTAGTCTGAGTAGAATTTGAGAATAGCAGCATTCTTGTTCTTCGTCCTCCTGTTTTAAAGAAAGTTCCCGCTTGTGTGCATACTTATGAGGTTTACAAAGAGCGTGTAGAATTGTAGTGCTCAAATCATCATCTTTCTGGAAATGCTGTAATGAGTTACACTGTAACATTATTGTACGTTTTCTTTTTATTTTTTACTGTTTTCCACATGTGGAATGAAATAAATGGAATGATGTGGCATTATGCAGTGACCAAAAAGTGTTAAACAGATCAAACCTTTTTTTTAATAGCATTGCACACTCTCAGCATGGTTTTTTTTTAAATTTTAAATAAAACAATAGTTTTTGAAATACATATGTAGACCTCAACTTCATACTATATAGAGGATTAACCTGCTTATGTATTTACTGTGAAATATTGTAAAAATGAGAGTACTTAAAAAAAAATCCCATCCAATCAGCATGCCTCTTCTGTATCGTTACTGTGAATTTTTATTTTTTATCTTGGGATATTTGTGTGAATGTGGAGGGACTGTCCTGAACACATGGCAAACTTCTTCCTGGAAAGGCGTTTTTCAGAATTATGTAGAACAAATAAGATTATTGTTAATAATGTTCACAAAATATAGAGAATTATGAATAAATTAATTACCAATATGACTGTGTAGATATTTAAATTATTTAAAGTAATTTTTACTTTCCATTTGGAAAGGTAGCTTCTCTAATCTATTGGCTAAAATCAGTAGTCACTCAACCAGTAGCAGTCTGCATAATTTTGCCTAATATCCAAAAAATCTCATCATAGTGGTTTACAAACATATGATTCCAGTATTACAGTTATTTAGTTATATATAAACTATTATTTCTATTTTTAGCAACTGTTTATAACCTGGGTTTAAATGCCTTACAAATACTTTAAGCGTTAAGCCTGACCCTGGTCAAGTTTTTTTAAGATCGAAATGCACACATTCGATCAGATGTGACCAAACCTGGCTGCTAATGTGGATTAGTCCCTTTAAATCTGCTTCCTGAGCTTCCTCACCTCTGTTTTTTAAATGTCGTACACATATCAATAATCAATCCAATACTTAGTTGTTATTGTTATTGGCTTGTTTTGTAATTGTTTTCTCTCTCTCTCTCTCTCCCCCCTCCCCCCGTCTCCCTACATCCAGAGTCTATGCTCCACAGCTACCATGCAGACAGTTCGAGCTGCAGACACCAATGAAGTGGACAAAGTCATATTCAGAGAGTCAGACAATGACCGCAAGGTGAGTCACACTCAAACACACACTATTTTATGTCTGCTTAATAGCTTGGCATTTTTCAACCTGGTATCACACAGCCCTCTATAAAGGGCCTCAAGCATTCACTGATGTCTTAAGAGAGCCCCGTTTGTATTTTCAAATTCATACCACTCAGAGAGCAGATACAGTATTAGAATATCACCGTGTGAAGGCCTAAATAACTTCATGTCTTTAAAATAAAATCCTGTATATATAAAATAAAGTTCTTCTCCTTGGCCCGTGTCTACATGCAGAGTTGCCCTCTGCATGTAGACACAGGCTAACGCTGTACCTTCAGGTCACAAATTATAATGTTGGTCTTCTTATCTTGCATGCTGTTTACTCACCCTTGGTCCTGTATTCTTATAGGTGGTGCTACAACTCGAAAAGAAGCTTTTTAACTATATTAACCAGGATGTTTTCCGGGAAAACAATGGAACGCTGGTAAGCTGTGTATTTTCTAATTTTCGCAGTGCTTTATCCAATTAGATTTTTTTTTGAAAGTTCTTCAAAGAGGAAAGAATGTGGCATCCTCAAGACATTGGTCCATGTCGTCATGAGGAAGTGAAAGAGCGACATTGAGAAAACACAGTTGAAGAGGCCCACTTAAGACTGTTTTTAAGTAGATTAAGGCAATTAGGCACATAGTGTCTTTCATTGTGAGAGTGCTTTTAGGTGCAGATGTGATAAGTACAGATATGAAGTCTTTTTCTGTCTTGTGCATACATTTGTATGTGCACTCATACTTTGATCCTCTGACTGAGGTCAGTTTAAAGTTCAGAATAGTCTCCAAGTCTGAATCTCACTTTGGTGCTGGAGTCTGTCCTCACCTGCACCCTTTGGAGAGAACACATTTGTGAGCTTGTCCTAGCCTTAGCTTTATATACAGCACAGTCTGTATTGATGAGCTCGAGCTGTGTGCGTGGATGTGTGTGTGAGTGTGCGCGCGCACACGTGCATGCGTGTTTGTTCATTCATATGGCTGGAGAACAGTTAGATAAATGACCTAATGGCTCATGAGAGATAATCTGATGGTCATGGTCTAGTTAAACACACTGTCTTATGAGCCTTATAAAACAAACTACCTTTCCAAAAGGACAAATGTCTTCTCCTGCCAAAAAATAAATAAATAATAAATAAATAAAAATCCATTGCATCCTTCATCAACTACTAGACTTGTACCAGCTTGACAGAAATTTAATTCGAGGCAGCTCTTGAAAATAATTATTGTATTTTGAGAGGAGTAATCATTGCTGGGGACATGATTGAATGTGTCCATGCCTATTGACTTTTGCTATGATTAATAGCTTTGTTTAGTCGATATTCCCATCGAAATTGTATAATTAATTATCCGAGTGGCTGTCAGGCACGGAGGATGGAGAGCTCTGATGAGGATTTGGGAAGATTAAATTTTCCGGGGACCGCTGCGTCGAGGGGGCGCAGGGCTCGCAGCAGAGGGGGAGGGTGTGTGTGTAGTGGCCAGCTGAGTTGCTCAGGAACCGAGGACTGCACTGTGCGTGCTCCCTTCCACTCTACCCCCCCACCCAATCGCTCATCTTCCCCCTCCCTGTCCCATTGCCATTGATTTTGTTTCAGTATCTCTTTATTGTAACTTTATCTGCTGTAGCTGGCCAGCCGGTGGGACAGGAGGATGAGAGCAGAGCGGAGGAGGGAGGGAGGAGTGGAGTGAGTGATGAACTTTTCTGTCACACTCCTCATGCTGCTCGCGTCCTCGACCGCTACATTGCTCAAACCGCAAGAGTTTTTAAGAATCCAAATAAATAAATAACACGAACCTTCCTGCGCGGACCGATCCATATTTTACCTGTCAGGCGGTCTAAGCAGCAGAGCAGCTTCAGCGCTAATCTAATGTGACCCTGGCACAGGCTTCAAGCGGACGAGGCTAAACACACTCTATGAATGTCTGCCTATCTAAACGCTTTGCAAACATGGGGTGGACGCTCAAATGGCTTTTGAGGATTTGCTAAAAAACTAAAACTTCTTTCTGAAGGGTTTTGTGCATGTGTGTGATTAAAACATTTTCATACACTGCTGGCTAAAAGTATGGAAGCAATCAGCGTTGATTTTTTTTTCTTTTCTTTTTCCCTTAATTAAACCCCTTAAATGCCAAGGAAACTTCACTGGATATAGACTTAAGTTCCTGACTCTCATAACTATAAACCATAGTGAATGTAGTTTCTAGATAATATCCTACACACCTAGTAGTTATCAGAAAATACACCATAAGTGTAATAAGCCTAGAGTTTAAGAGGTTTAGCACATATTTATTAACATTCTGATAACCACAGAACTTTCTTTTCAAATATATTCCATTAGGTTGCAGTCATGTACTTATGTACTCACATTATATGGGAAAAGCCTTCACAGTCTTTGTTGATAACAGTCTCCTATATTGACCAATATTAAATAAATTTTTTGGCTTCTACTTTAGCATGTTTGATGCAGTTAATCAAGTCTTCAGGAGCGTCTAAATGTCAGAATTTTAGTTAAGTCCTTTTGTGTGAATGTAACAAATTACTCTCCTTTATCTCTTGAAAAACAGTGGTTTATTTTTAGAAAGTCTGTACTTTTTGGAATATAAATAGTATTCGACTGATGTCACACTTGTCGCTGCCTCCATATTGTTGACATACCAGCGGCGCTCATAGCCCCACCATTTGTGCAAATAGCGCTTTGTGTTAATAAAGTGTCCTGACAGATACAATATAGCCATGCTGTGCTGCATGGTTCATGATTGTAGTAACAACAGAAACAAAAAACAAAACGGCTGTTATAGCATCACAGCTGTCTGATATTGTAAGGGGAAAGAGGCTTTAAGAGCTGAGCCAGCAAAGGAGAAATATTTGGATAGCAAGAATAAACAGAAACAACTTACAGCCATCTTCCCAAACCGAAGTTTACTGTCATTATTTCATTAGAGGTAGACAATTAGGTGAAACATGAATTCTGTATTTTCATTTTCGACTGACATTCATGATTGACTTTTGTGCTCTAACTGTTTGTCTCTGTCTATGTCTCTTTCATTTTAACTAGACAATGAATACAGTTAACGCCAGAATGTTAGTCGGGCTCACGTTAGCTTAAGCTAACGCCAACACTGATTAACCACATCAAACGTAGATGCATCACGTTAGCTACTGCTCACCTTGTGTTCACAACATCATATAATTGTGTAGTTGATGGTAAAGACAGAATATTGCTGACCCTTCCACAGCCCAAACAATTACGATTCTAGCAATTTGTATGCTTTTAGCTCCTGCGACGTGTAGGCTGATGCAGTATTTACAAACTCAAAGTCAGCTTTGTCATTTCTTCTCATCACAGATGTGTTAAGAGAGGAACAACGTAATTATAGATGTCTGGATATGTTATCGTGGGCAGTAATGCATTATCTGGACTCAATAATAACTTCTCAATTTGGTACAGATCAACATCTCATATCAAACTGACTTTTTTCTGCATGTCTTGATTTGGAAGCCATAGCTGGTATCAACTGATCACATGCTGACAGAAATATGGCTATATGGCTATAGTATCTATAGTCTACTTAATCAGAAAGTAGCAGAAGTTATGAAAATTAACAATGTTTATTCTCTATATAGTTTTTTGGATGTATATGAATTGTCAAAGGCATATGAAAATGTGAATGCTTAAAATTTTATATGCTTAAAGAATAAGCTCTCATTAAGGTATCAAGACTTTCCTTTTTTATTTATAAGCATATAAATTGACTAGCACATTGAAAAATGAATAGCACATTAACTGTGATATATGCAGAAGTGTATTGATGTGATGCGTGCAAGGTGTTTGGGAGGTGATGAATGTCCAGCGTCTTCCTGCTCTTTCCTGTTTGAGTTGACAGTATATCGTTTTGACACAAAATCATGAATACATCATAAAAGTGGGGGAAATATTGGCCCTGCAATGGAGGCAAAAGTGTGCAGTGTAAAAATCAAATTAAATGACCTCTCTCCCTGCTCTTATCGATGCCATTTAATGGCAGCAGGTGTTGTCAGAGCCATATTTGACAAAGTATAAATCAAAGCACAGTTATGGCAGGGGACATAGCATCATCCAACAGAGAGCCTAGGGACATTTTACTTTGCAGTTTTCCAGAAAGGCACAGCTCCAGAGTAATCAAAGCCCCTGTGATTTACGTGGGGGGGGGCTATTTAGGGCGAAGTGAAAATTTTGAGGCAATGCTCAGATAACCCCCCCCGCATGGTACTTCCTCATCTGGGCCCTTGTCTTCTCTGCTGGCCCTGTGATCTCCTCTGCAGCCCTTTAGAACCTCAAGGTCATTGCAAGCTGACAAACTGCCAGACCTCTATAATGCTGCAGGCCCTTGAACTTCTATGAAGCTCAGTTTTTACTGCTGACCTACCAGACCAGCAAATCATTCTGCTTAATTGAGCTGCGATGAAATGTAGTGTGAAATTTCTGTCCCACTGCTGCTAAGTGAATTACTTAACATTTTCTTCTCTCTCTCTCTCACACACACATATACACACAATACACACACACACACACACACACACTTTTCACAAAACAGGCCCCAAAGCATTACTTACCTGCTTGCCTGAAAGAATGCTGTGCGTAATTTCACTCATTTGCTCAATGCAAAATTGAGACATTTGTCCTCCCAAGCAACTCAAACACACACACACACACACACACACACACACACACACACACACACTGTAAAACTGTTGAGACTGCAGTGCAAGACATTAAATTCACATTTAATCTAAATCTTCGTATGTGAAAGGTAAAGTAATCCACTGTTACCTTAAGGCTAACATAAAATGTCATGCTTGTGAGAAAAGGAGTATTTGGACAATAAACAGTTAAAATTAAGATGCAAAGCTGGCACTTCTTCATTATTGTATGACAAAAATGTTAAAGTTTTTTTTTATGTTAATGTGTTAATGTTAATGTGTCACCTTCAGACGTTTCAAGCGTATATAGTGTATATTTCACATGGTTTATTTATAACAATATTACAGAATTTCTCATAGGAAATACAATATTCACACTTGCTGTATGCTGGCTTTGCTCAGCTTTCACTGCCAACCACTAAAAATGATTCAACATGGTCTTTTGGGCAAAACATCACTGACGAAAGCCAACTACAGCCAACAATGCTGCACAAACTACAAGCGACTGTCAGCTACTTATGCTCATCGGCAGCGTCCAACGACTAACAGTCAGCTTGGTGTGTCAGGGCCCTTATACACACAGACAGAACCTGTTTCATGTATTCACTCAAGCATGTAGTTTGTGTGTGTCAGTGTGTATGAACACTCTGGTAAAGTGATGAATGCTTCTTATTTGCCCTCCTGAACCAAACAAGCTGCCGGCTCAAATAACACTCACACACAATCACAATAACATGGAATTTAGTAGCACTGCAGACCAGCACAACCATTATGCAAACAAATACAAGAGTATATTTGTTTTTTCAAGTAGCTGTCACACATGTACACAAACACACACACACACACGTATACACACAGGGCAGTGATGCAGGTGTCAGTTGTACCTGTTGGTCTCTCTCATAATTAATGTGTACACACACAGGCTAATTATTCTGCTCAGCTTTGATTAATGGCTTTAGTCTGTCTCAGTCATCCTTGCGTCTCAGATAGTTCAACTCCCTCTGAGCGTGTGCAGCTGTGAGGGAGCATGATTGATGAACAACACCCGCACATAAACACACCCAAATCTAGTGTTATAAGCACACTTACTGTCATAGAGCACAGTATCAAAAGATACACAAATACACACACTCATACACGTGGCCATCACACCATACACACTCCATGATTGTAAAATCATCATTTTTATCACTATGAGGTCCAAGAGAAAGCCTGAAGACATCCAATTTACTTAAACTGCTGCTCAAATATAGCCTCAATCAGCGGTTAGTAGGGTCCAAGCATTGCTGGAGAAGTTGGCAATAATTAGCAGTCATAACACCTCCTGTTGGCCTGTGTTCTGCCATCTAATCTGTTTTGTGGGTGATATTTGTTGAGTCAGTTTGCTCTTTCAGAATGAGACCCTCAGAAAAATCATGATAAACTTATTTAATAGGAGATGGTGATGTGTTATTGGCCTACTAAACTTGTGCCCTCCACAAATGTTGGCACCCCTGGTAAATATGAGCATAACAGGCTGTAAAAATCATTCTTTACTGCTAATACTTTGAATCTTTCATTTAAAATATCTACAAAAATCTAATCTTTATTTGCAGTACATTGTTGGAGAAAAAAAAGTAAATTTTGTCAGGAAATAAATAATTTTTTCTCAAATCTGTGTGAGCCACAATTGTTGGCACCCTTCTTTTAATACTTTGTGCAGCCTCCCTTTGCGAATATAACAGCTCTGAGTCTTCTCCTACAATGAGTCTTCTCCTACAATGCTTAATTCCCTAGTGAAACCATTTAAGTGATTATTTATTTATATATATATATATATATATATATATATATATAATATACAGTGTTCAGTGTTATATATATATATTATGTGTTTATGACTTTCTTTGTTTCTTTCTCTGCCTTTACAGCTACTAGAGTTTGACAAAGAGCTGTCTGTCTTTAAGGATCGTTTGTACGAGCTGGAGATTTCCTTTCCTCCCAGGTATGGCCTCTCCATCTCACTTTTTTCTCATCTCTGGTCTGTTACACTGTCACCTGTGACTGTGCAGTCATATTGTGTGTGTTCAGTGTTTGTTCATCTATGTCACTGAGCGTTTAATTTTGTATGAGCTTTGTGTTGATACTATATGAGGTATAGAGTGGGCAATCGGAGTCATCACTCAAATGGGAGACGAAGTGAGTGCATCACACTGGACTCGATGAAGATGTCACACATTTGCTCCTGGATGAAGTCTGAAATGCATTATTGTTTTGAATTTTTCTTTCTTAAAATAGACTGAAGGTTTTTTATATTGATATATATACTATATTGAAATCGTTACCCTCTTTGTGATTTGTATGTACAAACACCAGCAGATTCACCCCCTGTGCTTTTGGACTAGGTGCCCCTTTTTCTTTGGCTCATCGTGCTTGTTCTGGGAAGAACGGCATTAATATTCCATAGCAGCCTTTCTGTCTGTGTCCTCTTCTTCAAACAAATGAATGTACAATTAGGCCTTTCAGAAAACCAGCGGGGGGCCAAAGCATGGCCCGTGCTAATGGTGCTTGACCTTTGGCGTCAACGCTGACTCAATCAGTGTAGATAATGAAACGCTGTAATCAAACAATAATTACTTGATAAACTGCTCCACTGGCTGGTGTGAGGAGGGGCCATGGTAGGTGTGTGTGTTAGTGCATGTGTGTGCGCATGTCTATTTTTAAATGACTATGTCTTAATCAGCCATCTCCATTTACATGGCTTTGCATAAGTGACAGGTGGATTTATTAGGCTTTTACACTGTGTGACTTTTACTCTCATCTGTCTCCAGTATATAATCCTGAATTGTCCAGCCTGCTATGAGAAATGGCTGAGTTGCAGCATGGCAAGGGGAGGCAAACCATGCTCCTGTGCTGCCGCCTGTGATGAATCAAAAATCCAAAGCCATTAAGGAGTATATAAAATTTGATTTGATGCAAGTAGTGTCTGCTACAAGCCACATTATTGTCAGAGGTGAGAGAAAAGACACAGCTTAGTTAAACTTAAACAGCCCCCACGTGCACACACACACACACACCCTCCCCCTGTCAGATATGCCTTGTGCTTCTTGAGCAATCAAGCACTCAGCAATTGTTCTCCATCACATGGACAGCCCTGAAACACCCCTGACCATCTGTGAGGTTATTGCATAGGGCCACGGAAGGACGAGCACACACACACACCCCCCTCAATCACTTTAACACTAGCACGCACCACCCTATCAGCTTTGCTTGACACACACTCACTTTAAATTTTCTAGAAAACACAATTAGTAAACTGCCCCTCTGTGTGATCTGACAGCTACTGCCTTTTTAGCTGTTTATGCTGTTATAGATTAAGAGTGTGTAATTATTGTAGTTAGATGCATTTAAAAGGCATCAGAGGTCCTAAATTATTCCTGCCCTGCATATTTTGGTGTTTTCCTTACTCTAAAGCCAGACGTTTGTTACACGCCTTAGAAACTCCTACAGATTTGTATAACAGGGAGCATCTCCCAAACATTTTTGTCATGAGGTTGCACGCTAGATGATTAGGCAAACAATGGGCTTTAGTTAAGAATAAGCACTGAAAACCCCAAACGTCACTGTAAAGCGGGAGCTTTGATGTTCTTGTCCATGCATTAAAAATGTTATAAAGGCCAAAACAGATTCTACATCTGTGTATACATGTCCCTTCGCCTTTTCTCTTTCTTAACTATTGGCTGTTACTTGAATTACTTATTTCGTTACGTCACTGACCATCTCACACTATAGGACTCGCGAGCATTTTCAGTCATAAAAATTAAACATGTTTGAAAATATCGGAAGGCCTCCCAGCACTCTGGAGCTGGATTGGAAGGCTAAAGATTGATTCATTTCCCCTCTCACATCACCAGATCATATTCAAATTCAAATAATAAGTAGAGCATCTGGAAACTTAAAAAAAAAAGAAAAAAAATTCTGCTAAAAGTAGATTATTCTGAACTGACAGAGAAAAATGTATTGCATCAAGAATGAAGTGAAAATAAATTAATAAGAATCTCATTTCAAAAGTGATCAAATCTAGAGGCTGATGAGATTGTAAACATATCACAGTTACAGATTACAATTACAAATGACACAACATTATTTATCAAATAATTTCTTGTTGTTCCCAAAATACTTGCTAAATAAAACATCTAAAATTACCACCAGGTCACATCCAGATATTGTTATTATTGCATACAAAATTAATGACAAGTGATTCCAAACTTTTAAATGGAGGTGTACATGACTATGAGCCATCTTTAGCTGTGCTTGTGAGGGTTATTTTTTTTTCTTTCTTTCTTTCTTTTGAGATCTGCTGGCAGTCCGTTGATGCAGTCCTCTCTGTGCTTACCTAAATTCCAGTTTAAGTGCTGAACACTTTGGGGTCAGATCTCAGCATAGTGTACCATCTTTGGGTCAAAGGCTGCTCTTGCTCACATAACACTGACACCTCTGATCAGGACCTGTGTGTTCTTGTCTTCCTCCATTTACACACCATGTGTAAGTTTTTGTTTAAAGAATGTGTTACAAGCTGTAAATTCGCAGAGTGGGCTCTACAGAGGAGTGTGTGTGATTTTGTTTTTTGACGAGGCTAAGCGCTAAAGCATGAGTGTGTGGAATTTGGCCTTCTCTCGCCAACACTAGTCTTGGAGCCAGACCGACTGCGCCAATCAGCAGTGGAAAACACTTATGCACATGTTCACGCAAAGACAAACACATTAAATCCAAAAACATTTTGTGTACTCCTAGTTTGTGAATATCAGATTTAACGTGCAGGCACAAAACCATAGAAATGTCTACTGGTGGAATCATATGTGGTGATACAGTGGCTGACATCTTTACTCTATACATTGGTGAGTTGAACGAGTTTAGACCAGATATTGAATCATAAGATGCCTCACATGCAGAACAAATTTATGAGGGGAAAATTATGTGAATAATTAACGAGAGGTTCAAAGTCTTCTGATTTCCCTGTCTCGAGCACTGATGCATGCCAGTATTGTAGAGCGTGTTATCTTTCTCTGAATATAGTAATCCCTGTTACTGGTAGGCCTGCCCTAGTGATATATTCTGATTGACCTAAAGGGAGTGCAGTTAGTGGAGTCATTGTATGATTTTATTGTTGTCTTCTCTGAGTAAAATCAATGGTGAAATTGAATGGAGCAATTGACCTGTGGGAATTTAGAGGACAATGAAAGACTGGAGGAAAGAGTTTCTATTTATTCTCACACTAACTGGGTTACTGGTAATGGACATGAAACAGACAGAGAGAGTGAGAGATGATAGACACTGACCTGTAGATAGCGCTCTTTCTTTTTACACGGACAGAGAGAAAGTTTAAGGAAGACGTGCAGAAATATGTTTTTTACAGGGACATACGGCTCCAGACTTATGCGTATATGTTTGCTAGAGTCTAGACTAGCGGGCTTGGGCTGGTGGTTGGAGGTCAGACAGGAGGGGTCAGAGGTGACCTACTGTTATCTTTTCACCATTTACTGATGAAGAGAATGGGTTTAGGTGCCGTTGAAATGAACACAACACTTTAGCATACATCTTCCAAAATGCACAGCTCCATGAGGATGAGCTGCAGACTAACTTCCTTCTGGAGGAAAAGAGAACAGACAATATGTAGCTAACACAGTGGAGTGTGCTGCCATAGCAAGGGAGGAATGGCTCTTGCTAAACCAACAGCTCAGTTACAGTCCCTCAGTCCTCAGCCCTTCACACATCTAAGGATTAGAACAATGTGGCACAGGCTTAGCTGGTTAGAGCTTTACACAAGGAACCATTCACCTTCAGAACATGATGGAGTTGAAGGGTTCCTGGCTATGACTGGGTACTGTCCGTTGATTCTTTTTAGAAATATGGAGAATATGATTCGATTAGACTAAAAACAAATTACTGTTCCTAATTTCCATTCTGTGCTTTTGTTTGCTGTCAATGATAAATGTTTTGCATGATAAACATTTTGTTTAATATGACAGTATTGCTGTGTGTGCAAACAGGGCTTTACAGAAATAGGGGCTTCTGCACTACCTGTCTGTAACATTACTAGTAAAAGTGTTCACATTTGTCACATTATAGATTAGGTTGCATTGTGGTCAGTTAACCATTTAACTTCAAGGCCTTATGCTCTATACCAAAAGCCAAGGGTGAAAAAAGAACAATGGGGAATGTACTTAAGTGAAAGTATGGGTACTGTCAAAATATCACTTAATTAAAAGTGGAAGTGCAGTCAAAAATATGCTTGAGCTACTGAAGTTTGTAAAAATAAAAAGTAAATGTGTTAACAGATAAAAATATATATTTTTTTGGTTGTGCAGTGTGTTGGTCTTTGCCCAAAAACAGATTAGCATAGTTGTGGGCAGTTGTATTTTACATTGACATGAAATGTGATTGATGTTTTAATAAAAAATGATGAAATATTATAAAATATAATAATAAAAGCACTGATTGGTAAGAGAAAAACGAAGAAACAAAAAGATTTCATGGCCTTTGAGATTTGTAACAAGTAAATGAAGATGTAAAAAAGTGCAAGTAATAAATCAAAAGTGTTTTTGTTTTTCTCTTGAAAATGAAACTAAGAGTACATTATTATGTATTATGCATTCTGCATTTGTTTTACACTATCGTGTATGTGGACTTTATGTAGTTTTGTGTAATGTGCTGCTGTTGTGTGTTGCACAATGGGACCGAAGAATGACATTTCATTCCAATGTATACAAGTTATACTGAGGCAATAAAGACCACTTGATTTGACTAAGTACAATTACTTAAGCATTTTCCACACCTGCCAGAAGTGCTCAGTGCTCTGACTTGGCACAGTTACCAAAGCAGCCGGCTATATTTATTTAACTAAATGAATACAGTCTGAACTTTATCTAATAAAATATCTAAGCTGTAGTTTTGTGGTGAAGGCTCCTTCAGCCAAGGTACATTATAATTTCTTTGGTCCTGGCT